TAGCCAGAGTGGTGTTAACTCTGTTTCTAAAACAATTCTGATTTTTGTAGCCCGCTGGCTTTGAGCACACCTAACTGAGGAGCTGTTTGGTACTTGGTGATACACAACCCCCAAGCTGCAGCCTTGTACATCCCTCCCTTGTCATTCCTGCTCCATGCCCTGTCCTCATTTCCCCACAGGGATTTACACTGCAAAGGGAGCCCACACTGCTTCGTGTCACTCCGTGGGAGAAGGAAAGGGAGAAGCCAGCTGATAAAAAACATGTCTAATATACAGGGAAAGAGCGTGGAGCTTGTTTGTGTGCTTCTCACCACATCCCCTGTGTGCCAACAGTGTTTCCACCAGTGGGCTCTGCTGCCACGAGCACCCCCCTCCCCCAGAGCCGAGTGCTTTGAATCACCTACCAATTCCATTCACCACGGGGGGGTCGGGACCGACTTCCAACACACTGGGCAAGTTTGGTTCTCCTTCGTGATCGTTTAAATCCGCGTTTTGCTGCTGTGAGCCATTCCCAAAATGTCTAGAATCCTTCTCGTGGCTGCCATCTCCATTCTGCAGCCCATTGTGGGGCTTTTTCAGTGGCATGATCTGCAACCCGCTGGGGGTAGTTCGGTAAGTCACGGTTTTAGCAGCCCTGTCATTGGCAGAGCCCGGCTTTGCTGCGTATCCTCGTTTCTGTTTTTGATGAGATGGGTTAATTCTCTTCCTTTTGTGTGTTGATCCTTTAGACTTGCCAGATTCAGAAGGTCTGTGGGATATTTTCTCGACGGACGACCCTCGGCTCTCCCGCAGTAGTTTGGCCGTGCTGGGCTGTTTCCCGTGCCTGGATCTCTTTTCTCTGGTCACGTGGAGTCTGTTGAACTCATCAATAAATTCCTCACAATGCAGTAGATGATGTTCAGGTTCCCAGGTGTCTTCATTGCTTCCATAACCTTTCCACCTGATGAGATATTCCCATTTGCCCTTCTTGTTCTTCCTTTTGTCTACAATCCTCTCGACCTAAAGGAAAAGAACAAAAATATATTAAAAAGAATTCCCTTGAGCAGAGCTGACAGTACAGGAGAGGAATCAGAGCCCCAGTGGTATTTGGACAGCAAAGCCACTGCCCCTTCTGAAAACATCAAGAGAGACATAAACACCTCCTCAAGTCTGATCTGGGCCCTTCAACAGCCCCAGTGTGAAGAAACAAGAGAGAGTCTGAGATCATTAATGAAGGCACAATTTCTTTGAAAATCTGGTTGGAAAATGAGACAATTACTGTTATATTCCTCAGCTACCTCTTGCTTGAAAGAGCTAAATAAAACATCTTTTGCTGTATTGTTAGTGACTGATCACTCTCCTGAATCCACACGTGCATTATGTCCCTGTAAACTTCCTCAGTCTTCTTTGTGTCTTGGAACTACCTTGAACAGAGAATTGATTACAGTATTTTACAGCAAAGATCTTGTTTGCAGTACTGTACATCCACTTTGCTACTTCCAACCTACAAAAATTTGTATTTTTAGGAAGGCAAAATTCGAGTAAATTCACGAAATTTGTGAGTGCATCGATAAAAGAACCCAACCAACCAAAAGGCATAAAGGCAGGATTCTTACATGGAAGGGATGACTTCCATCAGCCTGTGCTGGGGAATGTCAGTGCAAGGAACATTCCTGCACCAAGGGCTGTGTTGGGACTGCACACAGAACGTGAATTAACAGCATCCTGCTGTTGTAGAACATGGACTGTACAACTGGAGAAATCTTTGTGCTACCTCAGTGCTGGCAAAGCCTCAGCAGGGGGAGAGTGCCCAGGAAAACCCAAACACAACCAGTTGGCAGCAAGTCAGGGGGTTAAACTGCACCAAGTGGGATTCAGATCCAGTCTTTAGGAAAAATGGTGTAATGGTAGTAGGAATTAAGCATTAGAAGATAAGGAGGGTTTTTAGAACAAACAGTTTTTGTTACATACATCTGCCATGAAAAATCAATGCTGGGAAATCAGTTATGATAAAGAAGCCTTCAAAGGCTCTCCCAGGTTTTATTTTTTGGTTCTTTATTTATTTTTTTTATATGTTGTTTATGAAGGATAAAGATGCCACTAATGAAAAAAAGAATCATTATCATTAACCAAAAGCAGTATTGTTAATTTAGACAAATAAATAAGTGGATAGCTCCTGTAACAGCTTTCACTGCTCTTCAAAGGAAAATCATCTCATGTGAAGAACAACAGAATCTGTATGGAGAATTTAACCTTGAGGAAGGGCAATCACAGCAGTGTGAGTAATTGTTCTTTCTGGGTCCCCTGTTAGAGCAAACCAATGGATTAATTCTGGCTGTTCACTGCCTGGAACTGTACATTCAGAGAGATCATGGTGGGTTCCCCAAAGGACTCTAAATGTAATTAGCAACTAAACATTATACTTCTGAGTTCATTTACATGGGAACTGTGCTGAGATATGGGTGTGAGTCAGAGTGGACACAGGAGCCTTTTCCTCCATCTCCAGGCACTCCCTGCACAGCCCAGACAGCTGTTCCTGTGCTCTGGTTGATCCAATATCTGCATGGAACCTCCTCAGAAGCAAAGCAAGGCATCTCTTGACTCTGAATTCAGCAGAGTCCCCTTCAGGACTGCTCAGGGTGGCAAAACAATTAACTGAAGCTCAGCCTGGGCAAGTTTGAGATCATTTGTCTGAAAAGAGGGAAAAGGCTTCACAAAATAAATGAACTGGCTTTTTTTTTTTTCTGTCCTCATGTGGGACGTGTGGCTTTCAATTGTCAAACTAATAGTAGACTTATAATGATCTTGTTGACTTTATAGAGAGCAGCTGTCCAAATTATCCTTGGCTTTACAATACTTCTCATCCTCCTATCTGGGATCAGCCAGAAAAACTGAACATTGAACTGTGCAACTCTGTATGGGCTGCCTTGGATTTGTTACTTTAATTACTGCAGCTCACTGTACCAAAGAGCAAAACACACATATGTGTGTCCTGGGGAAAAAATTAAATTGCTGCTACACTCAGCAGACCTCAGCTCTCAGTACTGGAGAGCCTGGACCACTGAACAGCACCTGCATTCCCTCCCTTTTTCATTCAGGAGTTTGGAGCTGGAACACAAACTCGGTGTCAGGTTGGTTCTTGTCTGTCTTTGAGGGATTACAGCAGCTGCACTCCCCACTTGCTCTCTGAAGGAAGAACCTCAGAAAGGATGGGCAAATACCTCACCTTCTTTGGGATCAAACACAAGAACCATCCCTTCACCCTCCCCTTTTTTTACTATATCACTACATTCCTGTCTTTAACTACACAAATTTCACGTTGTTGCTCCACAAGGAGAAAAAGGAAAAGGAAGAGGTTTTGTGGAGGGCATTTTTTAATATGGAAAGCACTCAAGTATTTTGGTGGTGAGGCATCCTGCATTTCAATGAAGAGGATAAAAGGAGAAAATATGAGTGGTCTTTGTTCCTGGGAAACAAAATGCTGGCAATGGGGAGTGTGATTAACGAGTTCAACACATCACGAAGGGAGAATAAAAATATTTATGAAATTGGGTCAAATTTAATAAATGATTTCAGAAAAAATCATTCAGAAACCAAATATATTTGGGAAAGGCTCAGCGTTTCATTACAGCATTTTCAGAACAAAACTATCAATGTTTCCCTTCAGATTTAATGAACTAAAATAAAGAGGGACAACACAAACTGAAGACAAAATGTTTTGTTTCTGGTCAACCCTCTTTTCAGTTTATTGTTTTGCTGGGGAGAAAATGAAAAAAATGTGGGCTGATCCAAAATTAGTTTGTTTTCCTTGATTTTTTTTTTTTAGTTCAACCATAATACCCACTGGCTTGACTAATGATGCATAAAAAGTCTGAGTAGATATTTTCTCCTCCTCATTACGGCCTCATTGTTCATCACTGAATGCAGCTCAGGGGAGCAGCGAATATACTTGACCTCTCAACATGGTCCCTTTTCTTTCTTGGGGCTTTAAGTTCCTCAGTAATATTTATCCCCTTGACAGTGCCACTGTGAGGTGCTTCACTGGAGGTACAAATATCAGGGATTTACCCACACCTTGTCCTGTCTGTCCCATTTTCCTTCTATCCACAGTGCACAGTAACAGCAAACGCCACTACTTTGGTTTTTAATGATGTATATGGGTTTTAACAGGTGGTATATAAAGCAATAACCTTTCTACATTTACTTAAGGTTGCACAAATCATGAGTTTTCTTGATGAGAAATAATTCTGTGACAGATTAATAGAAGTAATACTTGAATTCCTCCTTAGAATAAGCAACACACGCTTCTGAGGATATACAGAAAATATCTTGGGTTTCAGCGGCTCATTTTCCCTTTTCCCCCCTCAGATCTGTCTTTAATCAGGACTGAATCACATCTTCCCAAAAGTGACCTTGGTGGTCACAGTTGCCAAATCCCTCAGTTCACTACATTTGCTTTGGAAAACTAAGCACTTAAATGTAATAAAATGAAATGATTGCAACCAAACTTTGCAGAGGTATCACAGTTAAGAAAGGGCCAGAACTGACATGTACCATCACTTCCCTGGATTCTCTCTCTCCCTGCCACTCCTGGCTAATTTTGGATGAACTGAGGTGCTGATATGTTGCCATATAAATACCTTTAAAGAGAACAAATAGAATGAGACAATGACATCTGTGCAAATGCATTTGCAACACGCTTTTTAGCTTCCAACTAGCCTTAAACCAAGCTCTATACACAAACCAGGATGAGAGGCATAAATAAAAATACTTTAAAAAGATATCTTTATTGTGAACTTAATGTGAAATAAAAAAAACAAATCAATTACACTATAAATATCTGGAGCTTGGTAAACTGAAGTGCTGTGCTTATATATGCAGAGAACAACAGACACATCCCTTCCTTCACAGAAGATTCAGGGTCAAAATCATTTAATAACACAGTGTTATTGTTCATTTATCAAAAAAATTAAATCCAGGCTAAGTTAAAAAGGGTAATTCCTATGGAATTATTTCTACAGATGTAACTGTGAAGTTGAAGCACAGTTCACTCATCTCACAGTTCACAGCTCTGAAGAGCATAAATAAAAGTTCTTCCACACCCAGAAAACACCTTCCAGGAAATCAGTAAACTTCCAGAAAGGTCTGGAAGATTGCAGATGTACTCAGTGATTTACAAAGTAAGTACATGTCATCTCCTCTCCTTGCCTGGCATATCCATGTAGGCATTTAAACTGTAATCTGGGATGTTCAGATGGTCTCTGTCTCAGGGAACTCTTCAGAGCAGCAGCCACTGCACGACAGACACCAGAAAAACTGCTTTTCATTACTGTGATTACAGGACTTGTGCTGCTTCATGTGTTTTTTTCATTGGAGGTCTTTGTCCCATGTTGTGCCTCAGGGTGTTGGAAGGGTGTTTGAAGGAAGTGCCAAGGAGAGGAAGGCAGTAAGATTTCTGAGAGAGATAAAGGCCATCTGATTCAACATGTTTGTCTTCTCAAAATTCAGTATTGCCCCAACTTCCCTCTTTTCATTACTTCGAGATATAGAGTATTTCATTAGCTGTAAATCTCTTGCCTGCTTGTAAACTTATTTTTGTTTCTCAAAATCTGGTAATTGGAGCATTTGTTCCAGATGTACAAGAAATATAGCAACCCATGTCCTGAAGCAGCCACTGTTCGTGTTAGAAAAATAACAGTGGAATGAAAGCTGGGACTCTCTTCAGAACCTGCCCCACAGAGTAGGGCCAGTCCATGAGTCAACTATGGAACCCCCCAGTAGAAAATCTGTGTGGTTTGACCTGTGTGGTCAAAATGAAAGTGCAAAGGCCAGATAGTCACAAAAATGCAAGGAAAGACATTGCTCATCTGAATTACTCAGAACATCAAATGCCACCTTCCCAGGAAGGCCACTGAACACCCTCTTAGTGTCAAGAAAACACTGCTGTTTATGCAGTTCCTTTTTTCCTCCTTTTAAGCACATGGATTTTTAATTTTTTATTATTTTCCCCTGTTTTATAATTTTTTTAGAATCAGAAGGGGTGTTAAAACTTATCAGGGAAACCCTGAAACTTCTGCATTTTCACTGGGAAAAGCCTGGCATTAAGCACGGCTGGAAACCACTGTGTTAGGTGCACGTGTCCTCCAACACAGACGTACCAAGACTTAAAACAGAACAAATAAATGCTCTTAAATCTCCTGCTGGTCCCTGTGTGCAAACCTGCACCTTTGATCCTCCTCTCCTGAGAGACCTTAATGCTGTAGAGGCTCCCTGCTGGGAGATCCGATGGTCCTGGTTTAGATGGAAACCCAGGAGTGCACTGCCATGAGTTGTATTTTACAGGAGTGATGCAGCCATTGGAAATTCCTGCTAGAAGTGGGGTTTTCACATTCCTAACTGTTCTGACCCCAGCATTTTGCCCTGTGTGAGTGCACTCTGTGAGTTCCCTTCCCTGCCATCCGGGCGTTTAGAACCCCCTGAAGGATGAGCCTCGCTCCGTGAGGACGTGAGCAACACGATTTCCTCATTGTGCCAAGGGGCTCCAGGCAGAGGGACCTGCTTCCAGAACCAGTGGGGATGAGATGGAGCCCTGGCTGAGAGCCTGGAGACAAACAGCCCCAGCCACAGCTTCCGTGCTCGCTCATATCTCCAGGGACCATCCGCCCGTTTTCTTGGAAGTCCCACCTTTCTCTGAAATTCGGTCTCACTGAAACTGAAATTCTGGTCTGGGCTCTCAGTTGTTCTTTTCTGACTCTTTTCAAAACTGCCCCAGTGCCACATCTCCAGTTCCACACCAGGGCTGTGGCTCCCCATTTGTCCCCGTTGCTGACCCTACTCACAGAACCCATTTCCATGACCTCTCCTCTTGGTTTGTGTCCAGCAGCTTTCTCCTGGTCAGTGCTTACAGTACTCCAAACTCCCAGTTTGTTAAAGCCATTTCCCTCTTCCACTATAAATGTAAGGGTGTAATCTACATAATTTTTCTCTATTAGGATATTTAAGTGCATGTGTATAAACAATACCTGTGGTGGAAGTGCCACAACCATTGTGGGGTTTGGAGCAAACAGGAATAATAATATACACAGAAATCTTGCACTGGAGGAAGGACATTTTTGTACAGACTGATACTGTCCCTTGGAAAAGGAAAACTGACAGATGACACAGGGATCAGGAATGGACTTTTTGATCAACTTGGGTAGTCCCTGTCACTGTAGGCAATTACATCATACAAACCCTTTCATCTTGGACATGTTCATCATCTAGAACATATTTCTGTCCAGGCTTATTGCTCACAGATTGAACAGCAAAGAGCTGTTCATTCCTAAATGCAATCATTTCATAAAAAATATTTCATGTTTTCATTTGGAAAGTCAGATGCTTTTCAAAGGTGCAGGATAAGTGCACAAAAAATAAAAGATCCTCTTTAGCACCAGGATAAGATAATGTTGAGAATGTTCTTTATTGGAAGAGGAGCAGGGTTTTTCCCTTTGCAATCCAGCAGTGCACCTGTGTCATCACAAACTGTTCTGCAGGGTGGGGGAGACCCTTTGGGTCTGTTCCTTTGACTCACAAACATTGTCAACACGTCCAACACCCAGAGAAATCCAAAGAACACGGAAGGTTCTGTTTATTTTAAAACACAGCGACACATTTAATTTATCAAATCCCTTTTTTCTCTTGTACAGTAAATCAGTTCATTAGTGTCTTTCATGGTTCTTAAGGAAAGCCAAGCAAGAAGCCAAGTCCTGGGTGTCCCTTATGCTAAGAAGTGGTCAGTTCTGAGCACACCCTCCACAAACTCACTGGCAAAATCCATTCCAGAGTGGATCTGTCTCAGTACTGTCTAGAACATTTCAAGTTGATGAGAAATGCCTGCCTTGATTTCAGCACTAAAGTACAGCTGGTAGTTTTTACTGTACTGCTACACTTGTTTTGTACATTATAGTGCACACTTTAAATTTAGAAACAACAGATATTTTCCTGTTTTGTAGACCAACAAAGTGACAAATAAATGCTGTTCCCATTTCCCATGGTAAGAGAGCTTTCCACAGCCAGTGTGAGCTGCAGGTCCCAGAGAACTGAGGCACGGGCGGGGTTTGCTCGAGGCAGAGCTGTTCCTGCACAGCCTATTTCTGTGACCATCACAGATGACTAAAGGATGAGTGAGAAATCTAAATTCAAGGAGACAAAATATTTTGCTTAGCTCTACAAAGAGCTGGCTGTTTTGGACACATGTGTGGCTCTCAGCTTTCTAATACTGTGGACTCCCTTTCTCAAGTTTCTCTGCCAAATTCAAGGGGTTTCTCCAGTTTTAAACCATCCAAGAGTATGTGTGTAGAAAATGTGTTTATCAGCAAAGAGTTCAGCACAACCTAGTAAGGCTCTGATTCTGCCTATGCTTCCTTTACAGTGCTACAAGTCAGCAGAGTTATTCCCCAGTAAAGTCAAAGTAGGAATCCTTGGGATTTAAACCAGGAGGTTTTTAGTTTTTTATTTTAAAAGCAGTTTATAGGAACAGGAGCAGGACTTGAAGAGACTTCTAAGCAAACCAGTGTTTATGTGAACAGATCACAGTTTTTACTGCCTGGAACTTGTTAAAAATATCACGTTTCCAAACAGATGTAGAAATGTGTAAGCAAGAGTTGAAAAATAAAAATACAACTATCACTAAAGGTGCTCTTCAACATTAAAGCAAGTCCAGAAATGCAGGAAGCAACTATTAATTTACATGACACCTGCATATGAAATCAGTAGATAAAAATTAATGCTGTCTTCTTTTATGTTCATTGGCAGTTTGTTCTCCTTTCCCTTGTTCAGTTCTGGGTGATTTCAGTGTTCTGCTGTACAGTTCACCCAGCCCTTTTCTCCTCCATATGGGCTTCATTGAGATTCAGCTCAAGGCCAGGGTTTCAGTTCAACACTTTTACATCCCAAAGCTTAGTCGGAAGTGAAGATGCCACATTAAAAAAATACAAAGGTTTAGCTCTAATACTGTACAAATAAATATTTGAGCTACTTGCTGTACTTCCACTCAGTGACTCACTGCTTTACAAACGCTACTGTACGACTGTCACAAAATAAACCACATGTTCTTGTGGGGCAGGTAGAAAAATATTTTCTTAGCCCTTTTACAGCAAAGTGGTGAACTTGAGCACAAAGGAGTGAAAGCCTTGGTTTTGGGGAGGGATTTGTCACTTGGTGTTTCCAAAGGTGCTGAGGATTGAGGATTTTGGATGTTCAGAGAGGCTTTACCAGCTGAGGGGGGAGATTGCTGGCCCTGCACAGCTCACACATTGAGGAGATGAGACAAGGGATGGGTGCAGAGTATTGAGGGGTACAGAGGGATACTGCTCAGTTCAAGTGGCCATTGTACTGAAGAGAATTTTACAGTGATCTCTGAGGGAGGAAAATGCAATAGTTCTGTAGAGATTTTCAAGGGACGTGCCCCAGACTGAACTGACAGTTTGGTGAAAATGAAGGCTCTGGGTTGGAAAACAAGACAAATGAACAACTAGCCATAGTTACTCCAAGATCTGGGATGTGAGAGAGCAATTTTTGGGAAAGAATGTCCAATGGCAGTATTTGCTTTGTAGCTCCTGCATACAGGGAGACACACGGTCACAGCTCCAAGCCTGCCAGAGGTCAAGAAGTGTTTGGATGATACTCTCAGGCACATGGTGTGACTCTTGGGGAGGGTCCTGTGCGTGGCCAGGAGCTGAACCTGATGATCCTTGTGGGTCCCACCCAGCTCAGCACATTCTGTGATAACTGTTTTTGAAGTGATTGTCATGGTTTTGGAATGGTATTCTCTAATTTAATGCTCCCACTAAAACCACCCAGTGCTCCCCCTCCAACTGGAGGCACAAAAGGCAAAGACTGGGGGTTGGGATAAGAACAATTTACTAGAAAGAGCAATGACATAAGAAAAGAACAGTAACAGCAACAATATTAATAAAAGAATAGATAAGAAATTATTCCCCCGGAAAAGCTCCTGGATAACAGGCAATACTGGATGGCTCTGCCACGTTTTCTAAGATGGAAGGAACCCCTTCTCCCTGGAACAGACTGTTCCCACCCAAAAAGCAAATCCCCTTGAGGGACACATCATGTTTCCCCATCCTTCTGCAGCACCCATCAAGTGCACCCAGGTCCTTGAGCAAAAACAACCCCATGGCTGGGTTTGCCTTTGCTTGAGGCAGGACTAATCCAAACTGTCTTCCCTAACACATTCCTCATATGGACCACAGGGACTTTATCCCCTCTTGTGGTAGGTGGAGGTTCTGACTGGGCAGGGACAGTTCTGTTGGTGGAACCTTGAGTGTGCACTGACCAGGTGGCCTTGGCTAAATGTAGGTCCTGATGTTTGAAGTCCCACCATCCATCGCTTTCCGTGTGGTTTTTAACAGTCCATTGTCCCATTCAGCTTTCCCAGAGGCTGGTGCATGACAGGGAATATGATCCACCCCCTCAGTCCTGTGCTCTCTGGCCCAGGTGTCTGTGAGGCTGTTTTTGAAATGGGTCCCCTGGTCTGACTCCATTGGTGGTTTTGGGCAGTGGGATGTAACCAATCTGCCAGGCCCCTCCCCAGCACTGACACAGAAGGGACAAGAAAATGCAGAACCCTGTCCATGTTCTGTTAGTGACTGGACAGGGATAAGGAGATATCAGAAGGATAAATCACATACCCACTTCAATACTCTCTATCCAGACTAGAATAGGTGGCAACTGGTTTGGAGCATCCATAGAGCAAAGGTAGTGACAGTCAAATTTGTGAATAATACCATGCAGGGAGAGGTT